GCCCACACTGAGATCGCTGGCTCAGATCACTGCTCTAATTGGATCCCTTGCCCAAAACCACGATGTCTCAGGGAGGGTCCCTGCAGGAATCAGAATCCCCCAAATGGTTCAAATGAAGGCACTTTAATGACAGAGTCCTTTAAAAGGCATGGGAAGGGCTAAGAGAATCTGAGGCCCTGGAAGACTGGCAAGAGAGGGGAGCTGTTACCTGCCTTGGGAGGGCAGGAGAAAGGGTAAGGACAGTGTAGGAGCTGCAACTGCTTGGCTCCCACAAACCTTGGGAGCTGTGGTCATAGGAAGAGAATGAAGCCTCCACCAGAGAAGGGGCACAAGACAGGGAGCAGGGCAGAGAAACACTGACTTTCCTCTTCCTACCCTCCGATTTCTAGCTGGTGCCCCTCCTTGTTCATCCAGAGGGCCAGGCAGCCTGGGGGTGCAGTCCTAGGAGTCAGGCCTCCGGGGCACAGAGAAGGGCGGAGAGCAGTGACTGGGGGAAGATGGGAGAGGATGGGGCTGATGGAGAATCACCGGCCCAGAAGGAAATTACCTAAATGCCTTTCAAGTCTGCCTAGGAACTGCTATAGATTCTGCGCCCTCTCACGGTTTTAAACAATTAACAAGTGGTAGAAAGGTGTTGAGGACACATTAGCACCGGAGAGAGACTCTTTTGATTCAGGTGATAAGAATTTTAGAAATAACAGAGAACTGAGTAGCTTTTTCACTTTTTGATTCAGACAATTTAGTGTTGTGGTGAGACACGTGTAATACCACCTCTCCCCTGGTGTGAAACACAGATGTGTGGGTGGCACCCCCCAGTGTTACCCACTTGGGGTACTTTAGTGGCTCACATCAGGCATTGGTTGAGGACTGCAGCTGGGGGTGGAGGGTGATGTCATCCCCCCACCAAGTCCAGCCTACTGTGAAGGTGGGGGAAGGTAGGGAGTGGGCTCTGGGGACCAGGGCCAAGCACTGGGGGGGAGAGGTCCATGTGCCGGCGGGGGGCAGTGTGCGCGGAAGCACCGTGGGAGGGGCGGGTGGGGCACCCATGGAGTCGCCTCCACAGCCCTCTCCCCACCACCCTCCCTCCTGAGTACTGATGTTCCCGTGGATCCATCTCCCACCCTTTGCTCTCTTGCTCCACATACTCTTCATGGGCCTGTCAACCACCCTTGTGCCTCCAGCTACCATCTCTTTGACAATCAGAGTAGATGTTGAGTGAGTGCCCACGTCTCGCCGATGTCCGCACCTCTCTGCCTGGGCTCCAGCTACGTCCTGGGCAGCACGTTGGAGGTCCTACAACTGATGTGGGACCTCGTTGTCTTCCTGCCTTAGCATCACCTCTTTCTCAGTGAAGAACATTCACCATCTGCTCAGTTGCCCAAGCTGGACACGTGGCCTCACTCTGGACTCCTCCCTGTTCCTTTGCCACCACATTCGTGGTCAGAGTCCACTGAGCCCACGCCTCGGGAGTTACCAGATTCCACGCTGGTCCTCACCGCACCGTTGCCATGGCAGGCCACCACCATCTCTCGCCCGGAGCGCAGCAGAGACCTCCAGCAGGCCACCCGGGTGTCCTTCCAGAGCAGGCCTCCTGACTTGGGTCCTTCCCCTGCTAAGACCCTGAGGACCCCACTGGCCTTGGCCTCATGGGCCAAGTGCAGCTTCCACAGCTTGGCTTCCAGCGTCCCCGAGACCTGTCTGCTCTTCCTTGTGACCTCCTTCCCCCCGGCATCTGGTGGCCAGCTGGCCTCGGGATTGCAGAGGCCTGAGGTCCACCCCTCTCCCGTCCCACTCGGTGGCCACCCTCTTGCAGGAATCCTGGTTCAGGCATTGTTTGGGATGCCGGAGAGCATGGAGATGAGAGCCATGGCCAGGGGACCCTGTACCCTCCGACCCAGACAGGCCCCTCTGATTAGCCCAACGGTGGAGAATGATATGATTTCAAAGTGGCTCTTCCATCCTGCCAACTTAGAGCTGTGACGGGTCCCGGAGTCAGAGGGGCCTGGGTTTGAACCCAGGCTGTACCACGATGTAGCTGTGCAGACTAGTTGCTTAGTCCCTCTGAACCTAAGTTTGCTCATCTGTAAAGTGGATGCTGCCTCACCACTTCGTATGGGTGTGAGGAGGTTAACAGGTGAATGCTAGAGTCTGAGGTCAGATTCTCTAGAAGTAGATGCTGAGATGAGAATTCACGTGTAAGTCAGGTGCAGAGGAAATGCCCAGGGGAGAGTGGTAAGGGAATTGGGGGAGGCAGGACAGGGAAATAAATCTGGAGAGAATAAGAAGCCCAAGTGACCCTAACCAGGCATCGGAGATACTGGTGTCTATTTCCCCACAGTTAACTTACTTCTTTTCTGAGTATCTCGGCCCCTGATGCCCCATCCCACCTCTCAGCCCATCTGAAAGAGCAGAGCCAGATGCTGCTGTGAGGGGAGGGGGGAGGCGGGAGGGGTGCAGGCCTGGCCTGGGGCCCATGTAGGCAGGGACAAGAGCACCCCTCCTGGGGGAGTAGGGGTTCTCTGGGGGAGGCACTGAGTCAGTAAGCAGCACAGTGGTGAGGAGCGGCCTCCACAAGCCACCAGGTCAAGAGCAGCAAGAGGTGAAGGCTGCTGGGAGGGAGGCCAGGCCTCCGTGGGAGCTGCCGTCCTCCTGGTGTGGCTCAGCTCACTCCGCATCTCCTACCTTCCTCCCTGCTGCCTTGGTGGGCCTTGGGCCAGAGAAGGGCCTCAGAGGCTATGAGTGTGCCGTACCAGGGGGTGTTTTAACAACATCCAGGCTGCCAAGAGCACATTATTCTCTTACAGAAATCCAAGGGATTGCCCAGGAGATGTGATATTTTTGTAGCCAAAAAAAAAAAAAGGAGAAAGAAAAAAGAAAAAAAGAATTGCTCCACAGCTCTAAAAGCCCGTTGTGCTAGGAATGATAGTGGGTGTTTCAGAATCTGGATTCTTTGTCAGGGAGCAGATAAGGACTGAGAATTTTCTGTTTGTTTGCTTCATTCACTAAATAGTATATATTGGATGTCCCCAGGATGGTCCCGGTGGAAGGAACAATCTTATAAAGGCAGAGAGGTAGGAAGGACATGTTTGACAGGTTTAGAGAACAGAAAAGCTAAAGATCAGGACTCTTTGTTGTAAGGGATAGAAATTCTACCTCAAACTGGCTTAGGCAAAGAAAAGGACTTAACTGGTTCATGTGATTGAAAGAACAAATGACTGGGAGCTTCAGGCATGGCTGGATCCAGGTGCTCAAACAATGTCATAGGACACAATCCTCCTCCATCTCAGCTCTGCCTTCCTTGGCACTGGCTCTGTTTTTAGGAAGGCCCTTGCCCCTGGGTGGCTCAGTCAGTTCCATCTTTCCACCCTCCCAGGCTCAAACCTAGTAAAAAGAAAGGAATTTTCTTCGCCAGTAGTTCCAGTGAAAGTCCTGACTCTCATTGACCTGACGTGGGTCACATGTCCATCTCTGGCTGACCCTTTAGAGAAGGGTCCATAGTCCCTTCTCTAAAGTGTGGGCCTTGCTCTAACACTGGTTAGTGTGTCTTGGAAGGTGAGTCATGTGATGTGTTGCATTTTCTCCTGCCCATCCTTTTTCTCAGAAATCTTATCTCCTCCCACATTGCATTTCTCTTTCTTGACTCTGTCTCTAGCCTTGACCTCACTCAAGCGCCCCTGGGCTCCATTTCCTGAGACAAGGTAGGGACATGTTCCTCCCATACAACAACAGTAATATGGCACAAATTGAGCCGTCACTACACGCTAAGCACAAGCTCTTCACATTGCTGTCTAATGGAATCCTCACAGCATGACAACACTATGAAATAGGTGTTATTATTATCTTGTTTTATAGGTGAAGAAACGCAGGCATAGAGAGGTTCATTCCTAAAGCAATGACTAGAGTCAGGGGGCTCCTGAAGCTCTGATTGACTAGATAGGAGTCATGTGCCTGAACGTGGAGCGAGGATGTGTCAGCTGCAACTGACCTACACAGACCGAGAGAAGGGAAGGGACTCTCCAAATGAGAGACATGTAAGAAGAAGGGGGCGGGTAATGTGGGGTGGGAGAAAGAGAAGATGCCCCCTAAACTAGGTGGCAAATGATGGCAACTCAAATTGGAAAAATTGGGGAGAAAAGGGAGCTGTGCTAGCACAAGGAAAACAAAGATTTGGAGGAGCCAAAGCACTGGAAGGACAGAGGTGCAGCGCCCCTTCAGGAACATCTGGAACCGGGCGCTCACACTGTCAGAAAGCTCACACTGTCATCAGTCCTGGTCTTCCCGTTCACTTCCGTGCTTCCAAGTGCAGACTGCCAGGGAAGGGCTCTGATTGGCCGATCCTAGGTCACGTGACCACACCGGACCAATCAACCATGTCCAGGAAGGGAGGCCCTCTTTAGAACACGGCTGCTCCCAGGACAGCCACGTGGTTGAAGCTGTGGCAGGAGCTGTAGTAGTTTCTAGAAAAAAGTGGAGTCGGGTACAGGGCCGATGAAAATGTAGGTGTGTGCTCGTAGCTGCAGGTGACAGAGAACACGGCCCTGACCACTTTAACCTCAGGGAAGCCCTCAGGGCTGGTGATTGGCCTGGTGATGTCACCCTCCCGTCCCTCTGCTCAGAAACAACAGTGTCCGCTTCATCCTAAGGCGGGTGCCCTCCGGGCCATCAGATGGCTCCCGGGAGCAGTCATCTACCAGATGAGAAGAGAAAGAGAGACTCCGTCCAGCTGCAGGACGGAGGTTCCTCCCTCCGGTCAGAAGGGGCTCCCCGCACTAGTAAGCGTCACCCCGAGAGCGCCGGGCTCCCCCTGACTTGGGCTTGGGCTCCTGAGCCAGTTCTGGTGCAGAGGACGTGGTCGTGATCAGCTGTGTCATCAGGACGCACCCTAGAACTGCGGTCCTCATCTGGGTCCCCCAACCGATGGGCGTGGGGTGGAAGGTACACGGGGCGGGGCCACCCTGCTGCGTCCCTCACCTCACGGCCGCTCTGCCCCTCTCGTGCAGGGGTCCTGTGGCTGTCGGTGGTCTCTGAGGTGCTCTATATCCTCCTGCTGGTGGTTGGCTTCAGCCTCATGTGTCTCGAGCTTTTCCACTCCAGCAATGTCATCGACGGGCTCAAGCTCAATGCCTTCGCAGCTGTCTTCACGGTGCTGTCAGGTAAGGCGGAGGGCGTCCGGCAGTGGAGCCTAACCCTGGGCTTCCGGAGGAGCGGACTGTGGGGGTGGGAGCCGCCCTGGGGCTGAGGCCTGGCTGTCCCCCCCGCGCCCCTCCCCGCCCGTGACCTTGCACCGGTCACTTCCCTTCTCTCAGCCTCCGTGGTACGGTTCGGAAAATGGGATTTGCTTGCTTTTTCACTCGCTCGGTGGTTATTGACTATCTATCACGTGCCAGGTGCTGTGCTAGTAATAAGTACTGGGGTTTTGGTGATGAGCAGAAAGGGACCGTTGCAGCCTCCGGTGAAGTTTCACGTGCAGGAGAGAGAGGTGAATTAGCTTGAGATGTAGTCAGGAGCTGAACACCATATGGCCCAGTGATGGATGGCATCTGTGGGACAAGGCAGAGAGAGGTGCTTTATTGGAATGAGTGGATGATGGTGTCTTCCATAGGGATATAAAAGGGGGGCCCAGGGGAGGGTATGTGTTATGGTGAGCACTGTGAATTGTACAAGACTGATGAATCACGGATCTGTACCTCTGAAACAAATAATGCAATATATGTTAAGAAAAAAAAGAAGAAGAAGATAGCAGGAGCGGAAGAATGAAGGGGAGTAAGTCGGAGGGGGAGACGAACCATTAGAGACGATGGACTCTGAAAAACAAACTGAGGGTTCTAGAGGGGAGGGGGTAGGGGGATGGGTTAGCCTGGTGATGGGTATTAAAGAGGGCACATTCTGCGTGGAGCACTGGGTGTTATGCACAAACAATGAATCATGGAACACTGCATCAAAAACTAATGATGTAATGTATGGTGGTTAACATAACAATAAAAAATTATTTAAAAAAATAAAAAATAAAAGGGGGGCCCGTTTGGGGTGGCAGGCACATCGCTCATCTGCTTTAGCTTTTTTGCCTTTGAGACATTCATGTGGAAGCCGAAAGAGCAAACACCTCTGGAAGCTCAGGGACTATGTGGGGTGGGCAGAGCCAGGGATTTTGAGGGCTTTAGGGAGAATGGGATGGTCAGCCTCATGATAGGACTCAGGGAGGTGGAGACAGAAGACTCCAAGAAAAGGCTACTGGATTAGGTGGCCAGCTGCCCAGAGTTGTTTCAACAGATCCCGGTCATGAGGGGTTAAGCAGGGAATGTGCCAGAGGGAGTAAAAGGAGCCTAAAACCATAACTTCAGGCGGCCTGACAGATAGAGTGGTGGCTTGGCTGTGTAAGACATCTGTTCCTAAAAAGCCAAACGTAAATTGAATTTCTGTAAATCTAATCCCATTCTTCATGCATTGGAAGAACCCTCTATTTAATGAAACTGAAACGATGAGCCTTTTGGTAAGGGAAATAATCTCCCCCTAATTGAAGTGTGTGTGTATAACAGAGGGATCCCTCAAAGATTGAGAGCTGAATTCAAGAGATTACAGCACGCTCCACAGATCAAAACACGCATGACTTGGCATTCTCAGGATGTGGAAATCTAACCATCATAGTAATGGAAAGCAAAGAAAAAGAGAGTGAGCCTCATAGCGTAGTGTCCGTTTTGCATCCTGCTCACCCCACTCCTAGTTATCGAACCATGGACTATTCTGGACCTATTTGTTTTTTTTTTCTCCCCCCATCTTGTGTGCATTTACTCAACCAATATTCAAAGAAGGCCTAAAGGACCAGGCATTGTAGGTTTGGGCAAGTCAAAGGAAAAACGACTGTGTCTTCACCCTCTTGAAGTTTGCAATCTTGTGAGACAGACTCATCAAACAATTAGAAAATGGTGGGTTGACCTCTAGTAGTGAGAGGCCTGCCCGAGGGGCACCCATGTTGGCCCCGGGGGGTGGGTGGGGATGGGTGGGCTGGGGTATGGGTATGGGGAAGACATCCTTTGAGCTGAGGCTTGGAAAAAAACGTAGGAGTTTCCTTGATGGACAGCTTGGGGAAGGCATTCCACATAGAGGGAACAGCATGGGCAAAGGCCTAGTGGGGTGGCATATTCTGGAAATTCCGAGTTGTTCAGAATGATGGGAAGGCAGAGTAGAGAGAGCAGGAGAATTGAGAGATGAGGCCGGAGACCTGGCTGAGGGTCTTGGTGCTTTTCAGTGATCTTTAGCTTTTGCCTTGGAGCCATTAAGAATCCGGAGCAGAGGGGGATATGGTCAGGTGTGCATTTGGGGATGAGGGCTCCGCCTGTGGCATGGACGGAGTAGAGCAAGAGCGGAGGTGGGGAGACTGGCCAGGAGGTGAGAAAGGACGCGGCCCCACCCTGCCCCAGCGCAGGGGCAGTGGGAATGGGATGCAGGCGCACACGCCCTCTGTTCGGCTAGGAGGTGAAGTGAGCAGGGTTGCAGACTGCTCAGGAGAGCTGAGTGGGCCTGGAAAACAGAGAACCCCGGGCAGCTTCCTAGTGTGGAGTCCACAGAATTCAGGGGGTCCATGAGCTGGGTGGGGGGAAAATTCCAGCCTTATTTCTCTAACTTGTAACTGACATGCGGTATGTCCTTCAACTATGAATGGAGGCAACAAAACGCAGTAGCGAGGAGCACCTGTTAGGTAGTCGCCAATAATAATCTCTATTTGTGCTCTCACACTACGGTTGTGGCAGATATCTTGAGATGTGTTCATTCAAAAGTGTAATGTGTACTAGAGCTTCTGCGGAATCTTGTTATCTAGCGTGTTAATGGAGAAGCGCATATATTCCTGTACCGCACGCTTGTTTGAGTATTTTGCTAACTACACTTCCATGTAACTGGTGTGCTCTGTCATCCTATGTATTTTATTTTATGCAGCCAGAAATGTGATTCTGAGGAGGGGCCTCTAAGTCCAGATGGCCAGAGCCTCTGACCTGGTGTCCCTTGGCTGGCCGGGGACGGTGGGTCACCAAGATGGGAAATGTGGGAGAAGAGCAGGTAGTGGGAGGGGATGGGTCTGGTTTGAGCAGGTGGGCTGTGCCATGCTGGCCCCTTTCCCTTCTTAGTGGTTTCACCTTTTCTTTCCCCGCTGCAAGCTCGAAGAATCCCTTCCATTATCCCAAGCACCCAGCCCTCCCCCTCAACCTGCTTGCTCCAGTCACCCAATGAAAGCTGGTGGGCAGCCCAAGACAGCCATCTCCAGGTCTTCAAGCAGACCTCTTGTGGGGTAGGAGGTGGGGGCTCTTCCCCCAACCTCAAAGGGCTTATCACAGTTTCCACCTCCCACAACAAAAAAGCCCCAGAGCCCCACTGCTAAAGAAAATAAGATTGTCTCCAGTTAATTTCAGACAGATAAACAATGCAGGGCTCAGGGAGGTTAATTGACTTGCCCGGGGTCACACAGCTGGTCAATTGTGGAGCCAGGATTAAACCCAGCTCCTGCTGGCTTCAAAGCCCTGTGCTCTTTTCATAGGATGGAGCTGCAGGGGTGACCGGACCTGGAGGGAGTAGACTTTTAAGTCTTCAGGAAACAGTAACCAAGAAGCGTTTGTGTGAGCCAGTTGATGTCATAAGAGTGAAGTAGCAAGTGGTGGAGAGAAAGCATTTTGTATTGACGCCCGAGAGAAGACAGGTGGGGGTAACAGGACCCCAGGAGAGAGGCTGCCTGGCCCGGGAGCCCCGGGCCTTTCCAGAGCCGCTTGAGAACAGGCCAAGGGGCGAGGCGGGGCCTGGAGGAGGAGGGTGGACTTCGGGCCTGCTTTGATGGGAGGGGAAGGAGTGGGCAAGCCCACTGAGCGAGTCCATGGGCAGGGGGCAAAGGGCTGGGTTCTGACGTTGCCAGAGCAAAGAAGGGTCCTCAGCCCAAGGTCAACACCTTCTAGAGGGGAAAGCAGAGATGGGGCAGCCCCTACTCGACCCAATTATTATAATCATTTATTATAATGAACCAAGTGATTCTGATGAATCATAAGAGCCAGTGCTGGCTGAGGTGCCAGGGCGCCGGCACTGGGCTCAGCCTGCCACGTGGTGTCCTTAGGAGGAGGGGTCTAACACTGCACGCGTCCCTACTTGCCTGTAGTCACGTCACTGGTGAGTTGTTAAACCCCTGACCGAGCCTGCCACATAAAGCGCTTTGAGCAGGGCTTAGCACCTGGGACTTCAACTTGCCATGTTATTATTATTCCCAGCTGTCTTCCAATATATTGAGAGGCGGATCGTGGCCCCAGGGACCAGCCCTGTTGTCCCAGTGAGGTGGGGGGCCGAGGGGCTCACGCTCTTCAGTGAAGGGAGACGGGGTAGCAGGGCCCGACCAGCAGGGCTGCGTTCCTGGCAGAAGGTGGTCATACAGATGGGGTTCGGCCCCCGAGGACTGGGGGCAGGGGCTGTGGTTGCTGGCTCACTGGCCCAGTGCCTAGAGCTCACAGTATTTCTAGGGACCCATGAAATGTTTTCATTTTGACTGCTTTTCAAAGCAGCAGGAAAAAAATTAATAATAACGAAGACCTAAGAGTGAATCTAGGCTGGATCATAATTGCCTTTCTACCATTGCAGTCATAAAATGTGATTTTTTAATATTTCTTTTATGGAGCAACAGGCCCGTGGAGGCCCGTGGAGGCAAAAGTGCGTGGGGCCCATGAAAGTCATGACATGGCCCTGCAGCGGGCCACAGCTTTTCTCGGGCTCTCAGGACCGGGCAAGACCCAATTCCAGACCAGGGGTGCCTCCAGCCGCCTGTGGCCCCTTGGCAGGTCCTGTGATTTTAGCCAAGAGGTGCTAGAGAAGGTGAACTCCCTGAGTTTCTTCCCCCAGCGACCAGAGTCTTACAGCCCAGAAGGGATGTGAGTGCAGGCTGGAACATGTCTGTTCTTCCTCAATTCCTCTGAAAAATGAGACTGATCTACTTAGGAAAAACACAAAGTCATTTGGAGAATCCCTGCACAATCCAGCCAACTGTGGGCTTTTAGTAAAAGCTGCCGTAGCACGAAGAGAAACGTGACCGTTTCTGGAAAATAAAGCAGACCTCATAGAGAAGTCAGTAAGAGTATTTTGTTAAGCAACAAGAAAAGGAAATTTTGCAGTAAAGCAAAAAATGACCAAG